ATCGGGTTGTGGTCCCTCTCCATCTTCGCGACAAATATTCTGCTCAACTTGAAAACGAATTTTATCACTAAAGCCAAGAGGCATCGTTGCTTGTAAACTAAAATACCTATGATATATACAACGATAATGTCAATAATATTGAAATATATTATTTATTATTAATCTATTTAAAAACTTATAAAAACAACATCATTTAAAAAAGTACTTGTCATAAATAATTAGAGCATCAGTTTGTGCCTCCTCTGGATCTATATCATTCTTCTTTTCTAATAAATTTTGTTTATAACTCATAGCTGACATCCAGAAGTCTAATAATTCACGTTTGTTTTCAAGTTCCATAAATTCCATAAAATAAAAAAATGCAGTTTCATTATATAATATATCTGCTAATTGTACATTGCCACTTGTAAGAACATCAATTTGATGTTTGCAATGAAATTCACTTCGTAAGAAATCATTAATATATCTAAAAAAAAAAAAAAATATTAAATATAAATTTTAAAAATAAATATTCTAAGTATTTTTTTTCTAAAGTATTCTAACTATTTCTAAATTCTTATACTCACTCAGTTTCTAATATTTGATATATAATCTTTTGGACAGCTGATAGGCACTGCAACATAGGCTCAATGTTTTCTAAAGTAAGAACTTCTTCCATTTTTTTTTTCAAATCTTCAGGAATTTTGTTTGTACCCAAACTATCCTTAATAATATATCTTTTATGAATTCTTAATGCATCTTGTCTGATGGTCATATCTTTCCTTCTACAATCGTGATTTGATTGTCGTACGTTGCTTATTGTTTGACTAGTCTTTGGCATATCATTGCAATTTGATTTCGTATTATTTATTTCAGTACTATTTACATGTTCATTAAATAGTAGATTCTTACTCTCAAAATTATTTATATTATTCTGTGTCATATCACACTGAAAATTTTTATTGTTGTCTGTCGAATTGGCAATATTATTTGAATTTTTTATACAACTTAAACATTCAATATTTTCCATTTTAGCTTTTAATACATTAAATGAGCTGCACAAACATTCTACTTCCAACCAAAACTTAATAAGTGCAATACAGTTGTGTGTTTCCATAAATTGAATGAAATAACCTAGAGCACCTTTGTCTGCAAGTATCTGTGGAAGTGTCTTAGAAAGCTGAGAGTTGAAAGAATATGTTTCTTTCATTTTACCATTAAGAATTTCATCTTCTTGTTCCTCCTCAAGACTGTACAATGCACCTGTTGGTGTCTGGATTGATGAACCACTATTAAATACATCTCCAAATAATTTCCCAGAGCTTGTTGATTTTGTGGGTGAAGTTTGTAAAGATCTGGGCCTGTCTTTTTGTCCTATAATTATCAATAAAGGCTTTTTAACTCTAATAAATAATATATGATAAAAAAATACACTTGCTTTAATTTTCAATAATCACACATATAGCAACACAAAATTTAAAAAATAAAACAGACATAAATATTTTGCATTTAGGTTAACTGCGATGCAATTAAATATTTGTTTCTTAAATGAAATATCAACAAACAATCATAAATGAATAAAAAATTATTTACCAGGCTTTTTAAAAAATTGGAACATTGTTTACGTCACAACGAAACATGATAAGCGATGCAATATAATATTCAAACGTATATAATAATGTTTTAACCCTGACGCAAACCTCTTCCTATAGTAAGCGAAAATTATGCGTGGGTTCCTTTCAAACACGATATCGAGCACTGAATTAAGAAAATAACACGATGAACTTCCCTGATCATGTAAAACAACACATGACATTTCAACAAACTCTCATTAATGTCATCGTAATTCCATTCAGGATCTCTATATCGATATCTATGCAAACATATTCGCGACATTTGTTGATTCGTTGTCAGAAAATTTAAAAAACGATCGTGAATCAAAATATAAAAAGACGCATCAATGACATCGAAATTGCGTAATCATCCATTTTTATTTCTACTATAATTCTAACGATGTTGCCATGTTGTTAATTCGTAGAAAGTTTATATTCATCGGTCACGATTATTCCATGCGATTTCATAATAATGAATGAAGTCAGAAATATTCGCACAATATAATTATTAGTAATAAATTATTATAATAAATAGTTATATATATAATTATATTGCGATATATTTAATTATATTGTTCATAATTTAACTAATATATCATTCACATATTTTTGTTTTTTTTCAACGTATGAAAATAATTTTGACAAAAACAATGTTATATGATTGATATAAAGAGTCATATCATCCGCTATTAGACAATCTTTACCTTTTTACTATTCTTTATCCGTCTGTATCGTTCCCATGTTAAATTTCGAGGAACATTTAATGTTTTAATATTTAAATCAGAATTGTTTTACATCGATTCTCGTACGTGCCCGCGTTCCCTGTATATCGGTACACGATGAGGCCAATGTCCGGCCACTGTGCTCGAGGCTCTCATGACCGTTCAACGACAAAGAATACCGGTTTCTTGATGTACTGACCACTATATCAAGGTAGAGCATCGGTATAACGTCGACTTTTCAGACGGACCTTGGTCAGTCTGAATTCTGTCGACGATCCTCGTACATTTTTCCATAGCTTTGTGGCCTATCGAAGCAAATCAGTCCACTTCATCATGTATCCGCGTTACGACTTTCTCTTCGTGTTCGTTTATCATGTTGTGACTGGCCTATCCTTACCGGCGACTTATGATCAACGACAAACCGGTGATCTGAACGTGCAGGTTCATTTGAAGGATGTACAAGTGTTGGCATTATTGGACTCAGAGATGCTTGATGATTACACGGTAAAATAACGACTAAATTCGTCGCGACATGTGGAGATATTAATATACCTTGATATCACTAGATAACGCGATAACGACAACTATTATTATTATTAATTTTTATCTTTATTAATGGTATAATAAAAATATTTCTCTGATTGTAAGAGATATTCATTAATAATTATATTACTTATAATTAAAAGGTAGAAATGTAAAAGATAAAATATTCAGATGATATTTTGATTTCTAAAATGTGAATATATCTATTATTTTCTAATTATAAATATAAATTAATTATAAAAAAATTATTTATTAGCCGATTAAAAGAATACAAGAAATTAAAGTAAATCATTAATATTATTATATTATTAATTTATATTATATTAACAAAGAATATCATTAATAGAAATTTAAATAAATTAAGTAATTAACGCAATCCTGAATTATAGGAATACGATTATTTCTACGATTATGCCGATTTCACGATTAAACCGATGATCAAACCTAATGTTACAACTACTACCGAACCATCAACTTCAGAAATTATAGAACAACTCAATTTTTCCAACATTACATCACAAAATTTAACATTTCCAATTAATGAATCAAATACAAATTCTAATATAGAAAATACAGAAATTTTGTCTTTAATGGATGTTGAAAAAGCAAATGAAACCTTAAGTATTTCATCAAATAAAATGAATTCAACTACTAATGAGAATAACATATTAAAGATGAAAGTTAATGATAAAATTGAAAATTTATTCGAAGATATAGAAAAAAATCGAAGAGAGCAAAATAATTGGAGATTATCCCATAATATGGGAGATTCATCTAAAATATTATCTAGGAAACGTTGTAGATCAGGATATTCACCAGATGGAAATGGTCGTTGTCGTCGTCTTAGTAAACGAAGATTGTCATTAATTCCGTGAGTAATAAACAGACAAAAAACATTAAAATTTATATTTCATTCGATAGAATAATCAGCCAAACTAATTAGTGAAATTACCAAATTAAAGTTCAAATTGCATGTAATTGCAATAGAATTTATTGAGATATGGAAATTATTTTTTTTTCTTATAGATTGGCATTGAGATTAGTACCAAAATTTTTGGATGACACAGCACGCAATACAAGGAATTTCGTGCAAAAAGAGGATAATCGAATGCACTCAAACCAAACTATGTCATGAATATTCGATATCAGTGCGATTGTTCTAAGTTCTCTCATGTTCCTCGTCGACTTATGTTAAGTTACGTATTCTCGTGTCGTTCACATCGCTTCATCCTGCATTTATATTCATCAAGTTACTGTATATAATATAATAAGCACTTATATGTATTTTTTTTATACTATAATGTTATATTATATTATTATTATAATGTTATAAAATTGTCATCATTTTAAATCATTAATTTATTAATAATAATAATAATAATTTTATATTTTTAAATTTTAAATAAAATATCCATAAATTTTCTACTAAAATTCTTTTAAAAACAATATTTCTTTTATTGATTGTATGTTCAATCATTTAAAGAAAAAGAAGATTTCTATTGAAAGAATTAAAAAAAAAAAAAAACGAAAGTCGAAGATAACACATACTAAAATAAAGATACGATCTTGGAATTCTTTCTTCTTCTATTTTCTTCAATCTTCCGAGATTGAGAAAACAAAAATATCGATCAATTATGTAACATGATTCATTCTTGAATAATATTTTTTTATACTATAATTGTTATACTATAATATATATATTTATACTATAATATAATATTTTAAAATATTTTTAAATTAATTACATTATAAATATTTTTAAAATAATTTTTTGCAATAATATCTATTTAATCTATTTAAAATTGTTATTTTTTTACTTCGCGTAAAAAGAAAAGAAATTATTGTAATAATGTTTAATCATTTTTTAATGTTTTAAAAAATATTTTTATTCTTAATTAAATGAATTAAAATTTCAAATATTATTTTTAAAGTAAAAAAATTAAAAAAATTCATGATGACATTGAAATTAATAAAAAAAAATTCAATCTAAAATTATCTATTTAAAAGAATTTTAAAATATATCATGTTTGAGAAACATGCATAATACAGTCAGTAATAATAAATTGTCGTGAGAACCGTTTGATTTTTTTCTTTGACCTATGAAGGATAAAATCATGGACGACATTACATACGAGCAGTACATATATGTCATAAACAGTCATAGAGTCATAATGGATGGCAGCAGCTACTTAATCATCTAAGTCGATTACCAGACATACAAGGCGTTTCTTACCCTCTCCCAACAGTGATACTCCCTCGATCTATATACAAGTTGCTAGCGATCCAAAGCTGCCAAGGAAGCGGACGAATCTCTCGCACAGTCGAGGATCAGACTTCGTTCAGCTCGGCCGATTTGAACGATCGCTTCCAGAGGATTTCGACAAAATGCTACTGTATGTTACATACGTTATCTTGCTATCAGGTAAAGCTACTATTGTTGGGCTTCCTTAAAAAATAAATATAGATTTCTTTTCAACATTTAATTTTTATTTTAATGTAACTTATACTGCTTCTCTTATTTCCTTAAACAAGTTATTATAAATTATTTATATGTCTTTTTTTAGAAATTTACATTCTTTTTTTTATATTTGTAACATATAAAAAGCACATATATAAATGGACATGTATAAATTATATAAATGCATATATTTAAAAAAGCATATCTAAATTATATTGACACAATAAATTATATTTATTCATTTATTATTTTATATTTTATTGTTATTATTAATTTTATAATTTTACAGGCATTCTATCTAAATCATTTTTGCAAGTAAATGCAGCTCCAGCAACTTATGATCAACGACAGAATGGTGATTTCAATGTGGATGCCAAATTTGACAATTTTTTGATAGTCGTTGCTACTTCTGGTAATGGTCTCTTCTTCAGGAATCTGGCATCACAAATGCTGGAGATGAACGAGTTAATTCCGCAGTACAGTAAGCAACAGATCAGCGAGAAACCATCTGAAACGTTGGTTTATGAGACAGAAAATGCAGATGGCGGGAGGGGGCCTTACCACGTCGAGATTGTTCATATAGAAAAGGAAGGGGATAAAGATAAACATCCTGAATTACCTGATGCTAAAAATAGCGAAAAAATTGAATTGTTAAAAGGTACTAAAAATTCTGAAACGATCTTGCAAGAGACAACTAATTCAGAAATACTTATTGATAGTAAAAAGGCAATAAAAAAGACTAAACAAATTTCGAATGATACAGAACTACATCTGATTATTGATAGTTCAATGAAAGAAAACAAAAGATCTGCAAACGCTAGAAATTTACAAGTGGAAAATTTTGATCGTTCCGACGATCTACCGGTTAAAGAAGATATATCAAAAGCAACTAAACCAGGGATATCGTTAAAAAAACAATTATCTAAGGAGGAAGAGGAGGATATACCTTTGATATCTGAAGAGAGGAATGAATTGGACAATAAGCGTCAAGAGCTAGTGTTACTGGGAGGTGGTATTGAGAATTGTGGACCTGGAAGATATAGAGATAAATTTGGTATCTGTCAAAACGATAAGAATTATAAAGAAATTTATCCTATATAGAAAAAAGTACATAAATTTTATTCAAGGATACCTATGTATACAATAATTGTGATATACTGTATTCGCAGATAAAAAAGGTCGTGCACTTAGATACATGAATTATTAATAGTTTAATAGTTAATAGTTTTAAGATTGTAAGAAATAGAAAAATACATATATAAAAGGAATCATATTTAAAATTTTAAGATATTAATCTTTTAATCGAATTAAATATATTCTGAAGTATATTTTATATTTTTTACATTTATATTATTTATACTAGATTCATAAATTTTGTATCATGTTCAAGAAGAAATAAATTATATATATAAATCAAGAAATGCTATCTTTCAATCCTTATCATAATTTATCAAACTTTTTTTCCCAAAATAAAATTTTTTTGTACGGTATTGATACATCAAATAATAAAAATTTATCTTTATCAGAATAGATAAAATCGAATTTATCTATATACTTATCTTAATCGTATTTGGATTTGATCCGTGATCAACGATTTCAATAAGCTTTTATTATCAAAAGGCGCCATTCAAGGTGAACCAGGAAGACAATCCGCGAAGTTCGAGTATGGCGGAAATGTAAGAGCAAGGGCAAGGTTACGGTAATAAGCGGCGGCTGAGACAGAGGAACGGGGAAATGAACTCGGTGGGGCCATACGAGGCCATTGCCCTTTACAAATCGGCTTGTGTATGTGTGTGTTTATATATATGCACATGTATATAGGTAGATGCTCGTGTGCACAAACAGACACATACAGTTCAGTATATTTCGTGCACGAAAGAGTATGTATAAGTTCGAGAGCGAATCGGCTATTAATGATTTGTATTTTTTTTCTCACCAATCAAACTTTCTTGTCTTGAATAAAATTTCATATTTCCTATTGAGTATAATTGAATAGATTTAAACCTAAAAAAGAATAACGAATTCTATAAAAATTTACACGAAATAAAATATATAAATTTATATGTATAAGCTCTCTATAAATATATAAATTATCAATTATTTTCAATATTCTTTCTATTTAATAAATATAATTTTATATATAATATTATATATTAATAGTTATTACCTTTGGTACCATGTAATTTTTGCTTTTTTATCGATATCTATATTTTTGTATAATAAGAATATAATATTAATTGACTAATTTAATGTTGATTAAAATTCAACATTCAAATCATTCAAAATAAAGATGAAAAGAATAAGTGATACGTGTAATATATTGTAAATATACATGTATAATATATGTAATCATAAAATAAAACAGAATAAGATATCAATGTCATCCAAGTAAAAAAATCAATTCTATCCAAGATTATGTTCTACCTGACTATGTATGCAACAGAACGTACACAAGGGCCCACAGGTTCTTGAACTTGCCTGACGATCTGTTTCCATGCCAGGTGGGGACCGGGATCGCCGGTCGGCAGGAGACGTCGTCACACCTCGCTCATCCTCCGCATCGTCAAGACGTTCATTGCTCACGCTACCACGCCACGGGCATCGTTTTTTCTTATCAAAAATTAACCATAAGTCCTTTTCACATTTTCGATTGTTTCTCGATCGATCGGGTTTGTCGGGTATCAGCCTCAAATTTGGAATAAAATATTTGAAATCTAAACTTGATATTTCGTGTTATTCTACAATTCAACCAAATTCAACATCGAAAAGGAATTTCTCAACGACACTACGCGTATAAAATATCGATCGATATTTGCGATTATTAAACCAGATATCGATGCTATCGATCAACATGCGAATCTTTAAAACGGTGTTGCTACTCGCCGCGTTCTGTTCTAACAGAGTTGCGCAGTGTTTACCGATTGCGAACGAAACATCGATTGTGGAATCATCGAATCCGACAACATCGACTCCCTTCAATTCTACAATCGATTATTACGATCAGCGACAAAACGGATCTGAGAATTATCGTGTTCACGTGGATGGCGTGATGCTCGTCATTGCTCCTGTTGAGACACTCCTTCTAGCAGGTGTTGCTGACAATAATAAACCTAGTTTGCCGGCAATTGATTCTTCAAAACCACCATCGAGTAAACCAGAAATCAATCTTAAACTGTCACCAATGTCCAAGTCAGCACAAAGGTATTTTCAAGTTTAACTTGAAACCGGTATATCAATACTAATTTTATTTCAAGATTATTTTTTTTCTTTAATAATCATATATAGTTATTATATGTTTTTTAAAATTAAATAATATTATTATTGATTTCTTGCATACAACAGATGTAAATATATTAATTATTATTTTATCTAATATTATTACTTTTTTTTTTATTAAATTTTATTAAATTTATCAAATTTATTAAATTTAATATCTTTATTTTAGGACTGGCTTACGCTTGGCGAATTTATTGGTTCCTCTGTTGCGTCGTATTCGCCATGAATGAAGAATTCGAACTTTTATACGAAACACAAAATATTTACACGTAAAACTTAATTGTTCCATTATCATTTTTGTTTAATCATATAGTGTTCCTTTATCTCATCCCTATTATCATCATTTTTCATTTTCCTAAAAATTCGTAAAAATGATGATTATTAATTCTATTTTAAGATGATATTTATTTTTAATCTTGCTTGTAACTAATTAGCAAACTTTAAAAAAAAAAAGAATTACAAAAATGTTAAATTAAAATTAGCTTACACGAAAAATATTTTACTATATTTAATATTGCACGAATTACAGAATGGTTCAAGGTTTCTTTTTGTAACCTTTATACTATCTTTTGAATAAAATTAACACTCGAGCCTTTCACGAACAATTGTATACTTAAGTAAATATACAATATATAATATACAATTTTTATCGAAACGAAATTTATTTGATTAAAAATTAAAATACATTATTTATGAGTTCCTTTTTTGGTATATAATCACAATATTTTGTATAAAAAATGCTTAGGACTATGATTCTCAGAATATATATCATCTGGGTGGAATCATTTATTTCATTTAAAAAAAAAAAAAAAAAAAAAAAA